CGAAACTGACACTCTGTCCCGCGCCGCTCGGGTTCCTTTTGCTATCCCCGTCTCCAAGACGCTACCCTGAAAGCCGTTCACGCCAGCGCGAAGGGGCGGGCCGAGGATAACGGCGAGGGTCGCTAGGGGTCACGGCGGGCCGATCCCTTCCCCAGGGCGCCGCGACGGACCGACCCCATTCCCCCAGTGACGGCGTCCTCAATAGGCACGCGCTGGGACAAAGGGGCGGCGGCGCGGCCCGCTCGCCGCCGCTGAACAAAGCAGCGTCGGTCGGCGGCGCGGCGGGCCGGGCCGGGCCGGACCCGCAGCCCAGGGCGGCGGCACAGCGGCGGCCAGTCCACCTGGCCACCATCTGGCGCGACCAGGTAGCCGCCGCACTGCGCATGCGTGCTGCTCGTTCCCGCACCGCGCCGCAGCCGGCGCGAACCCCTCCCTCCCTGTGTGCCGGGCCGGGCCGGCCGCTCGACAAAGGGACGACGGGCCTTGTGGGACGACGGCCGACACAGCGCCGGCGGCAGGCGAGGCCATCGTCATCCCGGCCCGCAGCGCACACCGGAAGGTGAACGGTGAGCAGCGCAGAGGCCGGCGGGCCTCTCACGCTAGTGCGAGCGACGCCGGCCGGACGGTGGGCCCCACACGCTAGTGCGAGAGCGCCGCCGGTCGCAGCTGGCCGCCGCAGCACGCCACGGCCCGCACGGAGCACACACCTGAACCGACAGGGCCGGCTGGGAAGAACCGCCTGCATAGAGCCGTCGTGTTTGTCAACAACACACAAAACTTTCGAACCACGAGTTCGTTACAAGGCTTTCGTGAGGTTTTTCGGCGGCTAGTATGTTAGATCATTCCAATTTATTCCTAAAAACTACAAGGCAAACGAAAAACGCTAAGCACAGTTATACCATTAATCCTTTCCGAGGATCAGTAACGTAAACCTATTAGAATTCCTTTTTATGTCTTGAATTTCCTCTAGCCTGCTCATATTCACTTTGAGTCACATCTATGGGCCAGACTAAACTCGCTCAAAAGTCCATCCAATTCCAGCCTTCCTGATGCAAGCTCGGCCTTCGCTCACAGAGGGGGTATCCCGTCTCAGAGGCTAAGTCAACTTCGCCAACCATCGCACCAGCGAACTCGAATCATAATATTCACGTCAGTTAAACGATCTCCACTACGCTGGCTCCAGAATGGCAAATCTACCTTAGCGTTTTGCATATCCGAAGCCGGAATATCGCGTAAAACGTGCGGCTATAAATACGTGGTGTAAACACACGCAGACCTTCGTCATCCAGAGACCAGCAAACCGTCTATCGCAGGGGATCACTGATGAAGTGGCAGTGTTCGACGGTCAATGTCAGCGCCCCGTCCCTCTCGACATTCCCCCAGAGGCCCGTCACCCCACCAGCGCCCGGGGCGCAGCTGTCGGCTCGCACACAAGGCCGACGAGCAATCAATTCGACGGGGTCCCGCTCCACGAGGGAAATTCCACAGTGTTCGGCCGGCACCAGCGGCAGAGGGAGGGTGAGGGAGAGGGGAGAGGGAGACAGAGAGAGCAGAGACAGAGGGTAGAGAGAGAAAACAAATACAAATACAAAAACCTGTAAATAACGCATGGAGCACGGACGCACGGACAAAAGATTACTAGGATAATCTTTTCCAAGAAAACCCACACAGAAACATGAAACCTACAAACTGTTCTCCAAAAACGTCGTGTTCTAAAAACGACACATCTATTTTCGAATCAACCTAAACGAATGGAGCTCCTGTGCTCTGGAACCTTGGCAACCACGGTCAGCGAGTCTGATTCGATTTATTAAAACAGACGTACACGAGAAGACGGCTCTCCCTCGTCCGTATTTTCAGGTCAATTTAATCAGGAAGTGGATAGCAGAGGAGTATAAAAAGTTTAATCATTGACTTGGTAAGCTCACAACTGTCAAAAAAGTACGAGCAGCAATAAAAAGGAATCAGATATAGCCAGTTTATCTCGATTTTAGAGGCGTCTGGGTAGTCTGATCATTTGATACGTGTCTTTTTTATTCGACCCTTCCTATCAGGTTATCTAACAGGTAGAAAGGCTCCAGTCGGAACGGCTTTAGGTGATAATTTTGATCGATGATGATTGTTCATCCGACGGTCAGTCATCCCATGGCGTCCACCTGCCTCGTCACAGGTCACACCAAACCGACCGTTCACCCCCAGCCCACCTCAGCATTACTTCTTCCTCACGGTGCTACCTAACCTCGCATAGTGTCAGCCCCGCCATATGGGATCCCGTCAGCAGCTCCGGCCGGGTGGAACCACGCCAAGCCAAGTCAGCCAGGTAGCTGCGCACCTGAGCAGCCCCACAGCAGCGGCAGCGGTGGGAACCGACCGACCGGTCCGGTCCGTGCAGTACAGCGCCGGTACAAACACACAGCCGGGTGGCTGCCGTCAACAACACGGCCGGGCCGGGCCGGGCCGCTCAATACTCGGCTGTCGCTCCGAGCCGCCGCCGGAGCGCGGCCGTTCGTCACAGCGAGCGGCGGCGCCGCTCCGCCACCGCCGGCCCGTCGCCATCAGCGCTGGCCGTAAAAGAGCGGCGGCGGCGGCGGCGGCGGCGGCGGAGCGGGCGCTGCCGCCGCCGCCGCCGCCTCGGTCCATGACGTCCGCAGCGGCGGCGGGGCGGACCGGCCCGGCCCGGTCGATGTGGCCGCCGTCCGAGCCGGCCGGGCCGGCGGCGGACCGGCGCCTGGTATCGATCCAGTCGATCGCCTGACCCCCCCCCCCCCCCCCGGCCTCCCCGGGGGCGGCTGGGCCACGTCAGCGCCAGCGCCACGCACGATGCGCGGCGGCGCGGCTGGCGAGGGGCCGGCACGCCACGCACCACCGGCGGTGTGTGGCTGTTTGGCAGCGGTCGCCATGGCGGACTCCCAGTCCGGGACACGTCAGGACGCGCTGCTGCCGGCCAGGCTCACCCGCATACTGCATTGACCCCAGTGACCTCGGACAGGTCACCGGGCACACGGTGATCCCAGAGCGCGGCTATCAGAGGGAAGGAGGGCCATCAGAGGGTCATCGGGCGCCCATCGGTCCCCACGGAGACGCCGATGGTCGCTTTGGAGGGGAGTGATGCCAGCAGCTGGCACCAGCAGGAAGCAGGAGCTGCACCATCGGACGAGGCTCGTCCGTTTAAAAAGGGGACCAATATTACATCATATGGGCACCGATGAAGCAACGAAAATAATCGTATTTCGAGTGCAAATGTGAGCAGGTTTGGTGATCAGCAGCAGGTTTGGTAATTGACATGTTGATAGGCCCAGCTTTTACAATCATGGTGAAATTCCAGATGCAATTGCGTTGATTGTACATGATGCTTCGCAACCCGTTTAATTTCAGACATTCGTAGCGATTAAGCCCTGCATAGGACCGTTAGTGTGATGAATACTGCATGCCTTGAGCGAAGTGTATCATAAAGATGATTTCCATATCGTTGCAGCTCAATAACTGACGCGAATGGCCCACAACTGGTGATCAATAAGGGATGATCAATAAGCTCGACCCTCTCTGCATCTCTCAAAACGGCCCATATGGCAAAGAACATCCACAGTACGAGTCGTACCAGCCCCACAGCCCTCCCCATCCCCAGACATTGCACACACACTCACACACACCCTCGGCACGTGACCGTTGCACAACCCCCCCCCCCCCGCACGGTTTCACTCCACCCGTCGGCACGGCGCTGCAACCGACCGGATACGGCCGGCACACGACATCCATGGCAACGTGATGACGTCATCGGGGCAGCACGGGCCCGCAGCACTCGGCAGGCCGGGCGGGGACACTGTGAGCCCCGGCCACCGGCTATTTCCAGACCGAATCAATGGCAATTCCGGTCAATCCGGGCCGTCAAACTGAGTATCAACCCGGCTAACTGGGTACGGGCCGGAAAAATTGCGCCGGCGGCGGCGAATTTATCTCTGTGATGAGAACTCCGAAACGTGCCAGCCACGAGCAGATATTTCTAGGTCCGCAGCACGAAATAAGCAAGATGCTGGGGCTTTAAACGGCAGCGTTTCATTTAGGACCCGTCCCTGGGTTGAGGAGGGCAGGTCAGGATGTTCAGAGGAGTGAGGTCGGGAGGGAGCGCCCGGTCCACCCCGCCCGCCGCAGATCCGTCCATCCGTCCGCCGCAGGGTCCTCCGCTGCCGTAGCTCCTTTCACCAGCCGCGTTGCTCGCACACAGCACATGCGGGTCACATCGCACCGGAGTCGCGCTCGCGTCGCGCGCTGTCGACTTCTTGTCGCACACACATGCACGTAGCACACTGATGGATCCCAGCGGCACGCCTCACGGAGGGCGCGCCACACACTGAACACCGACAGGGAACACCCGAGCACCGCGCACACCAGAGCATCGTGCTCCCGTCGTTGATCGTCGTCGCGCTGGCAGATCGCTGCCGTTTTCGTTGGTGCTGCGGCTGAATGGCTGAGCGGGCGGGCAGGCGGGCGAAGACAGGCGGGAGGGCAGGCGGGCAGACAGGCGGGAGGACAGGCGGGCAGACCGGCGGGCGGGAAGGCGGGCAGACCGGCGGGAGGGCAGGCGGGCAGGTAGACAGATAGGCGGGTACTGGAGTAGTGTAGGGCGAAGGCGGTGAGGTACTGGAGGTGTGTGAATGAGATCGGGAGTCGCTGAAACTACCGGTGAGAAATTCAAAAGATAACAGGCAGAACGGTTGAAAGGGCGAGGAACACTAATTGTAAGGTCAATTACCCACGGTCGGTGGAGCCACTTAAACGCCAGGTCAGGTCAGGTCAGGTCAGGTCACGGCTCTCGGATGGGCTAGGTCGGGTGGGATCCAGGTGGGTCAGGGTAGGCAAGATCAGGTCAGAGTGCACCAGGTCAGATCAGGTTAGGTAACTTCCCGATGTAGATTAGACCGTGCCAGGTGGGGTGGGGTGGGGTCGGGTCAGGTCAGGTGAGGTCAGGCCAGGTCAGGTCAGGTCATCCGTGCTGTACTCACCCGCGACTGAAGCCGGCGCCGCGGCCGCGGCCGGCCGGGTAGCCGCCGACGCCGGCCGGCGGCCGCGCCGGCTCGTCGGCCGCCGGTCGGCCGTTCGGGTCATAGTACTTGGTCAGCAGAGGCCGCTCTTCCACGCGGTTTTCGGCATTGTGCGCCTTGGCGGCCGATTTGATGTCGATGAAGGCTACCGTGGCGGCCGGGCCGGCGGCGTCCTCAGCCGAGAGCAGCTTCACACTCTGCACGCGGCCGTATCTGACGGAACGGGGGAGGGGGGAACGGTTACAGTGGAGTGCTGGACACAGTGGGGTACTGGACCCCACACTGCACACTAAAAGCGGCCACAGCCGACGCGAGACGACACTGCATCCAAAAACGGCCACAGTGAAGTACGAGACACTACACCGTCCCAGCGGGACATTACAAGACATTACACACCGAAAGGATGAGAGGCAGCACAGATCTCGTGACAGTGAAGTACCTGAAATACCGTGATGAAGTAAAATAAAGTAAAGCAAATGAACACTGCCGTACAGCAGTTGTAGGAATTAAACAAACGATACAAGAGCCCCGGTGAACTTTAGAATACTACGACGTACGTAACTTAGTTCATTTTGAGTCCCGCCTACCTACGAATACAAAAGTTACCGGCCGACATTAAAGGGACTATCCCACCTTTAACATGGGGTTTGAGTTGAGATAGCCAAGTTTGCGGCGAGGTTCAGAAACCACTATCTACAGGGTGTCCGGAAATTGATTGCACACTCTTTTACTACATTTGACAAGGAAACAAAACGAGCATGTTTCATGGTTTATTTGCCGATATACCCTCCACCCAGTCGCACACACGCCCTCATACGGTCGGGCATGCCGCACATTAGGTTATCCAGTGTCTCCGCACTGATGCTGAGCCACGCTCGCTGGAGGTTCCTGATAAGCGCCTTCTCGGTGGTAGCCGGCTCCACCATGTCGAGCTCGCTCTGCACGATAGCCCACACGTTCTCGATGGGCGACAGGTCAGGGCTGTTGCCCGGCCATACACCCTTCTCCCCAAACCCTGGGAGGTTGTCCCGGCACCACTGTTGAGTGCTGGTGGCGTGATGAGCCGGAGCGCCGTCTTGCTGGAAGATCGCCTCGGACATCTTCGGGAGCAGCTCGACCTGTGTTGGCGGCCCCGTCTTTCTCTTCCGCTTCATCGCCGACGCTGCCGACTTCTTCAGGACCTCCTCCACGTAGTACTGGGCCGTCACGGTCTGGCCGCGGGGGACAAAGTGGAGCTCCGACAGGCCCTGATGACTCATCATGGCCCAGACCATGACTTTCAGCGGCTGCTTCACCGTGTTGATGGCAGGCACTTCAGCGCTGCTGTGCGCCCAGACGCGCTCGTTCTGGCAATTCGGCGGGTGCATGAGCTCGAACACCGACTCATCGCCGAACAAAACGCGCCGCCAGTCCTGGATGGTCCAGTTCTTCCGCTCCCGGGCAAATGCCAGCCTTTTCCGCTTCTGGGCTTCGGTCGGTTTTGGCTGGCGGCGCAGTTTTAGCGGCTTGAGACCCAAGCACTTGGTCATGTAGTGGTGAACAGTGGTCTTCGACACCGGGTGACCCTTCTCAGTCAGCTTTTTGGCCAGTTTCCGCGTCGATTGGCGTCGTTTCAGCACGGCCTTGGCGAGCACGATTTTGGCCACTCTGCTCAGCACAGTCTTTCTCCCACGACCCTTACGATTCTCAAGTGATGCACCGCTGCGGTCGAGAGCTAGCCAGTAATAAAGGGTCCGGCGAGATACGCCCACTTGTCGGGCAACATCGCCTACCGTCATCCCGGCTTAAACCATCCCAACCGCGCGGTGGCGCGTCGTCAAAGTGTGCTCCCTCACCATTCCCGATATGGGGCCCGCGCGCGAAGACTGCCTCTCGGAAAATGACCTGTGGCCGCTCACTGCGGCTCGGGTCAGGTCACCTGCTGGGTCACGTGATCAGCTGACACGCTGGGGTGCCCGGGGGCGGGGTCGCGACCCTGCCTAACCGGTTTGGCGGGAGCATGTGCGGGATACGGGCATATGGACAGTGTGCAATCAATTTCCGGACACCCTGTATCTAGGTTGCAACCCCCGCGGCCTCTTGGTGTTGAAGAAATTCGTTCCCTTCATTTGAAAATGAGCCTTGTACAAGGCCCTATCTTCAACATGGAGCGACCGTTAGTGTGACGTCACCTCGTTTAGTCATTCTGATTTAAATGGGTTTGTTCGTTGAAAAATCGCTTAAAACTTGGTCTGAACTTTGTTGTGGTGCCTACAGAGTAAAAAGAATCAGCTTTATGACAGTAATGTGGCCTGGGGAAGGAGGTAATTTTGGGCTGTGACGTCACATATTTGAAAGTTTGTGTTTGGAATATGGGAAGCCGAAGATGTTTAATTAAAGATAAATGCCAGAACCGTGTTCCTGGTCATCCAATCTATAAAGTCGGGCACAATTTAACTGGTTTTAACAACATTTTAGAAGGTGGGATAGTCCCTTTAACCCGGCAGTTGCTGGGGTATTCCGCCACCCACCGTTTGCTGGGGGGGGGGGGGGGCGTTAAACGCCCCCAGCCGATAACTCGAGAACCGATAGGCGCAGCGAAACGCACGAGGCGGCAAACGAAAGAACGCGACGAGACGCTTCAGATGAGTAGTTTAAAATTGAATTTTGAGGTCACAGGTCGGGTCAAGGTCAGGTCAAACACCTGAAATCGGGCTTTCAGTAGCATGGACTTCAGGACTTCGCAATGGGCGCCTCTCGTCATAAACTCTGTCCAAACGGTGCGCAATCCATCATATAAGACCTACAAGAGTGTCACTTCCATGTAGGGATCAGTCAAGCATAGGTCAGGGTCAAGGTCAGGTCAACCGGGTAGGCACATATCCCCGAAAATCAAAACTGATATTCGCAGCCTGTGACACATGTTTTATGGGTAATTTGGGGCGTATAACACGATGGTGACATTCATTTTATCATATGTGTACGTGTTTGGCTCAAAAAGTTCAATTTAAGAAATGCATGTATCATGGTCGTGAAGTCGTCACGAGAAATTGCCAAGATTCAGTTCAAGATTTTGGAAAATGCGGAACAATAATCAATAATCGAAGATAGCCATTTAATTGTTCATGGTATTGGCAGTCTAATGGCGTTTACGGCATGTCTGTATGTCTATTCTGTGATTTTATATGATTTTTTGAACATATGCCGTTTTTGGTCGAAAACTCAGAAATCATGACGTCACTAAAACCTCGATATCTCAAAAATTTCCCGCCCGATTTTTTTGAAACTTTGTCACAATAAACTTCAAACAATTCCCTACAGGTACCCAAAATTTGGCGCGCCTGCGGCGCGCCGTTTTTATGCTATGGCCCGGCGAAAAAAGTGGGGGCGTTTAACGCCCCCCCCCAGCAACTCGCGGGTTAACCCACGCCTTCCTCCTTCCTCCACGCTAAGCTGGGCTTAAAATACGCGGATGTCAGCAACTTATACGATAAGCTGTGCGTGCAATGTTCTGGATGAATTAGCTAGCGCACTTCCTTTCCAGTATGGCTCGCCGCTCAGTTACTCTTTGCTCACGCAATCACGCATCTAGCATGCATGAGCTCTGTGCGTCATTGATTCAGCCTAGGACGCATTGCCGAGCACCTATCTCTATTGGCACAGTGATGACAGCCCTAGTCAGCGCCGTATGACAAGGTAAACCGAGCCACACCGCCACGGCAACTCCATCGCCGTGGCCCGGGACCGGGCGCAGCTGGCGGCCAACACGCTCGTGAAGTGGGCCCGCCGGAGTAAGATGGAGGTCGCGGGTCAGAAGACGCAGCTGCTCGTCCTCTCCCAGAACCCCCGAGACGCCGTCGACTGTCACATCCACGTGGCGGGTCAACTGGTGGAAGGGGGACCTGAGCTGAAACTTCTGGGAGTGACGCTAGACAGGACGCTGAGCTTCGGCCCGCACTGCAGAAGTCTCCGTCGGCGCGTCCGGCCCCGAGCGGCCCAACTCCGACGTCTCACCGGCCGCAGCTGGGGGCTGCAAGAACAGCAGCTGCGCGCCGTCGCAAACGGCTACGTGCGCGGCGCGATAGAGCACGCGGCTGCTGCCTGGCTGCCGGCAGTGTCCAAGTCCAACATCGAGATCCTGGAGCGGGAGATGCGCGCCGTGGCGAGGATCGTCACGGGCTGCATACACTCCGCACCACACCACGGTGTGACGGCCGAGGCTGGCATGCTGCCTGTCGCGGCACGACGTACTGCGCTAGCGGCGCGTATGTTCGCGAAGGCTGCCGCGCTCCCGCCAGAGGACCCCCTCCGAGCGGTCGCCATGGCTGACCCCCCTCAGCGCCTCAAGCTGGTCACGGGGTGGCGCCAAGTAGGCCGGGAGGCCCTGCGGAAGCTACGGGTTGAGCTGCCGGTTGAGGCCCTGCTACCAGAGCGACCGCCACCGTGGACGCCCACCGGCAAGATCACCTTCAACCTGAGCATTGGCGCGCTGCCCGCCGGTGCGGCGAGGTCCACGAAGAGAGACGCAGCGCTCCATCACCTGGCGTCCATGACGCAGTGCGCGACGTGGGCGTGGACCGACGGCTCGTCGAGCGGCGGGATCCTCCGCGGGGGGGCTGGCGCCCTCATCGTCGGAGCTGATGACAGCCGCACCGAGCTCCGTGTCCCAGCGGGCACACTCTGCTCCAGCTTTCGAGCGGAGATGGTCGCCCTGCAGGTGACGCTGGACCACATCCTGGAACACCAGCGGGACGCACCAGAACCAGTCATTATATGTACCGACTCGCTGTCGGCGGTAGCGGCGCTGAGAGAGGGTCCGTCGGCACAGCGCTCGGCCAGAGGCGCTGCCATATGGAAGCAGCTACCGGAGCTCACCGCCGGAGACCGAACGGTCACCCTCCAGTGGGTTCCATCCCACTGCGGGATCCCAGAGAACGAGTCCGCCGACGCCCTGGCAAACGAGGCTGCGACGCTGGCACAAGAAGACGTCATGCTCGATGTAGACACCATCTACCGAGCGGCAGTCCGCACCGCCAGAGACCGCGCCGCAAGGGACAGGCCGACATACCCGGACCCCGACCGCAAAGCCGCAACGGGGTGGTACAGAGAGCTTATGGGTGCAAGATGGCCACCACCTCTCACCAACATGGACAGGACGACAGCAGTAGACGTCCACCAGATCCGCACTGGGCGCTGGAGCGGCTCGGCGCAGTTTCTACATTCCATCGGACGAA